AAGTCTCTAAACAACGTCCCAATTCAAAAAGACAGATGAAGTATATAAAAGATGATTTTAATGGATTGCGTTTTGTACTAAGGCATAGAAAAACTCGCTTACATGATGGCGTACCAGCCGGAAAGAGAGAGCGTACGTACCCAGCATGCTTTAAGAAAACGACAGTGACGTATTTCCTTTGCTGTGTTCATGGGAAATGTATTCTTCATTTGTTTGTTATTATTATTATTATTATTTTTTTTTTACTTCCCACACTTTCGTCATTACTTTCCATTCCACATTTCGATTACAAAATAATTTAATAACATAATATAATTACACAATAGAGTCTAGAGACTAAAGAAGTTAATCGAAAATACTTGTAGAGGTGGCATTAGGAGCGTATATTGATCCAAACTCGAGCAAATAATTGCGATACTGACTACAGATGTGTCTGCAGAAATGTATGTGTATCGATTGCATAATTATTCGTAGTTTGATTGATTTTTGACTGATATGTACACCATTACACAAAGTCAACAATATTAGTACTCAACAGAATGAACTCTTTGTGACTATAAATATTATATCAAAACTTTTAGGTAATAATATTACAAAATATATTATGTAGCATAAGACTGTTATGAATTAAAGCAAAAATAGAAAAAACGTTTAAATGTGTTGTAGACGAGTGGCAAACTGCCGTGACGTCACCCATTGGTTTGTGAACTGCCGTTTTGAAGCCTCGAGTTTGGCTTAATGGACGTCTATGGCAAGTCGTTTTATTAATTTTATTAATTGCGGATAGTCAAATTTAGCCATTAGATGTTAAAACGGCTTGCCATAGAGTACGCCCACCTGCATCGGCAACCTGACAGCAACAGGCTCCTGTCTGAACCAATAAGAACAGACTTCAGAACAGCTTCTCCCTCAGACTGAGTCTGCTTCATGTAAACTGTGTCACACTAAGACTGATGATGAATCACGGCTCCTGGACTTTTTGCACCTTCCCTCCATCACTTATGGACGGCTGCAACAGCTTCCAGTCAACCTGTCAGACTGTTGCTCTGTCCTCACTGAGCTATGAAGCATTATTTTACATCTCTGCTATAATTTATACTTGTTCCTAAATAAGATTTATCCACCTCTTTATGATGCAAACTTGTGTCAGTGAAGTTCACCTGTACCTTCATTCACAACTGTATTTTATTTTTAATTTGTCAGTTACAGTTGATTGTAAATTGTTGAAATTAATGTAGTTTTAATGTGAAATAAAATGTTTTATGAAGCTTAGCTTTGTTGATGGTTTTGATGGAGCGTGTCTGGTATGAATTTGAACAGTAGCAGCAGCACAGTATAGAAATCACAACACACTGAAGTTTTTCCTGAATCTGTAATTAATCAAAGACTTTCTATGTTGCTTTAATCAACAACAAACATGATAGAAATGTTTAAATGTGTCCGTCCTTCAACAGTGACAATACAGGATCTAGAGACAGATACTAGAGTTTGTGCTTTTCTAATTTGTCTTATGAACTTACCAATTTTAATAACAATGAAAACACTGATTCACCAAAGTGACTGTTAGATTCATCATGAGGCAGATGGTAAATATGAAGAAACACTCAGTAAAATTTAATCACAGGTTTATTTATTAAACACCTTTTCAATGACAACGATGAAGTTCTAAATAAAACTAATGAACATGAGCTGTACTACACTGACAACTGCTTCACAATCTGAACTGTCAGTGTTCAGTTCACACTAAAGAGTGTGTGAGGTGAACACATCCGTCTCTGAGGTCACAGCATCACATCTATGAAGAGTCTGGTTTTGCTCCAGGTTGCAGTTCTGGTGGGTCAGTTCCATCTGTTTCCTACTGAACATCCATCAACAACAGAAGAAATGAAGTAAAAGGCAAGAAAGTGAATCTGTGATCACTGAGGACAGAGTAATAAACAAAACTAAAAAATTCCTGGAGAGATTTTGAATGTTGCTGCTGCTTGGAGCGTGTACTTCACACTTGTTTCAATCTGCACAAAGGACGTTACTTTCAGTTTCATTCATGTTGTAGAGACTCATCCTGACACTGGCCTCAGTCACTGCAGCTGTCCCTCAAAAAGCCTTTTGAAGTTGTCACGACTGGCCACAATAACCTCACACTGATGGTTTTCAAACACAAATTTGTCCCCACAACCACAGCAAGACATGTATACACACATGTACATGGATACAACATGTACATGGATACACACATGTACATGTCCTAACAGAAGTTGATCTGCAATAAAGCTATACCACTATATCTCCATATAGACAATGGCTTCTAAGATTGAACTTTTATGACCTATGACCTCTTACCTTTTTGAGACTCTTATTTTGAAAGTGTTTGTGCTTCTGTGTTTCGCAGTATAAATTGCATAAGGTTTTGTACAACAGAGCCAATAATTCCCTCTTACCATGTTGAGACTTTTATTTTGAAGGTAATCCAAATTGTGGAGATTGTGTTTGTTTGTTTCTGTCTGTCTGTGTATATATATCTATATATATATATATAGATATATATATGCTTTTACAGTATATAAATCTATGCTTGGATTATAAAATACAATCATGCTTAGCCCTATACTTACATAAAATCTGTGATGTACAAATGTTTGTATTTGCCCATTTTGCATTCAGGCCAGTAGATGTTACACTGCTCACATGAAGCATCAAGATATAAACCCTTTGTGGAACCACTTTGCTGAGAAAGTAAAACCTCCCATGCTGTGGGACTCACATCCAGTACCAGAAGATACAACAGCCCTGGAAATTTTACTCACCAAGTATTTCACTTACTGACTGCTCACAGAGCCAGGTGTCAGTTCACTACAGCCATGTTGGTTGCTTGTGTCAGTATATGACGTCATGGCACAGTCCTCCCAGTCACCGTATGTTGGAAGTCTTCATGATACGAACACTTGTGGCCATAACATTGTTCAGTCTTATCAGCTGTGCTCCTCCTTGTTCCCTACTTCCTCACTGTCTTATTACACTCTCTGCCCCATGTCAGACATACAATCACATGACTTTTGGACTCCACTGTAGCTGTAACAAATTGTCAATAGTTTAAAACATTAGAGTCCATATTTCATAGTCCTCAGCCATTATAGTTAATATCAGCGTGCTGTTCCGACAGCATCACTTATTTAGAGGGAGATTGTTACTGGAGCAAATAAATATGAACTGTCTCACACATTAGGACTCATGATGAATAATGATTATACTTGTTACTAAAGATTCTGTTGAACTGTTGATTCGACTACTTCTTTTTATTAAGCAAATTTACATATGACAGTGAAATTCAGCTTTAACTTCATCCACAACTGTATTTTGATTTTAAATAGTTACAGATGATTGTAAATTGTACACTACCGTATTTAATTAATCCATTTATTAGACTATTTTATACATGTTTCCAGTGTTGTAAATTGTTTAAATTAATGTTGTTTATAATGTCCAATAAAGTTATTTATGAAGCTCTTGCTTTAACTTTGTTGATGGTTTTTATAGAACACATCTGGTATGAATTTTCACAATAGTAACACGTACAGCATTGTGTGACTATTTCTATGTTAGCTTTAATCAACAACATAAATACTACAAATGTTTAAATGTTGTCTAACAACACTGACAATGAAGGATTAAAAAACTTGACTTGAAACTGATGTCAATTGGTAAATACTTTCACCTGCGGATGTGGTGACAGTGCCAGAGATGATCCATCACTTAATCACAGTTTAATATTTATAAATTCTGTTCTTAAAAGTGTTGCTACCATCACCTGTCAACAGCAGCAGNATGAATAATGATTATACTTGTTACTAAAGATTCTGTTGAACTGTTGATTCGACTACTTCTTTTTATTAAGCAAATTTACATATGACAGTGAAATTCAGCTTTAACTTCATCCACAACTGTATTTTGATTTTAAATAGTTACAGATGATTGTAAATTGTACACTACCGTATTTAATTAATCCATTTATTAGACTATTTTATACATGTTTCCAGTGTTGTAAATTGTTTAAATTAATGTTGTTTATAATGTCCAATAAAGTTATTTATGAAGCTCTTGCTTTAACTTTGTTGATGGTTTTTATAGAACACATCTGGTATGAATTTTCACAATAGTAACACGTACAGCATTGTGTGACTATTTCTATGTTAGCTTTAATCAACAACATAAATACTACAAATGTTTAAATGTTGTCTAACAACACTGACAATGAAGGATTAAAAAACTTGACTTGAAACTGATGTCAATTGGTAAATACTTTCACCTGCGGATGTGGTGACAGTGCCAGAGATGATCCATCACTTAATCACAGTTTAATATTTATAAATTCTGTTCTTAAAAGTGTTGCTACCATCACCTGTCAACAGCAGCAGCAGAATGAAGTTGCAGGTAAGAAACTGAACCTGTGAATCCTGAAGACAATAATAAACAAACTCATCAGCAGTTGGTCTGTCATTTCATCAGAGGAAGATGAACTGGGAGAGGTTTTCTACCATCATCATCATCACAGCACATTAGAGAACTAAGGATGTCCATGCAGTCTCCCTTCTCCACAACCAGATGAATGGAAACAAATGGGCTGCTCTGTACATGAGGTCCTCCGTCTGTTGGCACAGATCACTCAGTTTTCACAGAGTGGAAACCTTTCAAATGACAATAAAAGACAAACACTTGAGTTAAGATGCGGTGGATCACAGTTAATCACAAATATCGATCAGCTGTCAGGATAGGTGCATGAATGTCTGCTTCAGTTGAGGACTGGTTTTAGTATTGAATGAACAATCTTCTATATGACAAATATTTGTCTACACATTTTGTAAACGTCACGTTATCTTAACTTGAACTATCACGACGTCTTGATGGACAATGTATTAACTGACATTAACGCTGACCCAGAGTCGACGTCCATTTTTATGTACAGTCTGTGGTTGTAGAGAGTTCCGTCAGTCGCGCATGCGCAGTGGCAGGATAAGTCTTGTCAAGTGCTAGCAGAGCAGAATGGATTCTTTGGTTGTGATGTTTCATACTTGACACCCAGATACTTACACACCTAATTCAAGTAAGGACCTTACCTGAATGTACCGTTACATAACAAAGAGTGTGTTCGCAGCCGGACTGTTTACTGGTGTGTGTTTGCACGACGCAGAATGAGTTCTAACGGCTAACCTGCTAGCTAGCTAGGCTAAGCTAAATACTATTTTAAAAAAGGGCTAAACAACAAAATACTGTCATCTCGAGCCAATGCTAAGGATATAATCGTGTATCTGTCTGTTCTTGCTTGTTTTCGAGAAGCCCTTGTCAGTGTTGATGTTATTACAGCATTTCTAACATATGCCAGATGAGACTATAAACACTGTGACGTTTTGTGCTCGTGCATTGTAGGCTCAAAATGGGAAAAGGCTGTAAAGTTGTGGTGTGTGGCCAGGCAGCAGTGGGGAAAACTGCCATTTTGGAACAGTTGCTGTATGGAAATCACACAGTAGGTAAGACATACACCTGGAATGACTCGAGAAAACAGCACACACACCTCTGTCACCTACATGTCAAATCTGGATTCATGTAATGATATTTATGTGGGGGATTAATCTAGCTCCACATTAGATTCACCCATTGATCTGGATAGTCAACACCTTTGGGTAACTGCAGGTGCATAATTGAGGATACACCCAGCCTTTTATTTTCAGAATATAATTGACATTCTTTTAATCTGACATGAATTATATAAAGTATCTTCATATTTATGAGTTGCAATACTGTTTATTATATTGCTATGGTTGGCTGAAAGTCTGTTTTCTGAATTTGTTGTGTCACCTGTGTTTTCCAGGCTCTGAGTCCAGCGAGACGCAGGAGGATGTGTATGTGGCCTCGGTGGAAACTGACCGCGGTGTGAAGGAGCAGCTGAGGCTCTATGACACTAAGGGGCTCCACGATGGACAAGACCTCCCCAAGCACTACTACTCGGTGGCCGACGGCTTCGTACTTGTCTATAGCGTCGACAGCTTGGAGTCTTTCAAGAAGGTGGATGTTCTGAAGAAGGAAATAGACAAATCCAGAGATAAGAAAGAGGTGAAACCGGTTCAAAGCATCCTCTAATAACCATTCATAATAACTGCTGTTATCCTTCTCGCAGAGAATGTCTTACTCAGTGTGCTGCATATTACATTGGTAAATGTCAATCATTTAAGAAATATGAAACATTCAGTTTAAGCGATAAACCAGCTGAAAAGTAAGGCATTTCTGTTTGATCTTTAGGTTGTGGGTTTCTCTGTACCGGGAAGTGCATAATGTACCATCTTTAATCTTTAAAAGTGCAGTTGGATTTGATTCACGTGTGTGTGTTGTTTTCTCAGGTGACAGTCATAGTGCTGGGGAATAAGACAGACCTGCGGGAGCGTCGTCAGGTGGACCAGGAGGTGGCGCAGCAGTGGGCGCGAGGCGAGAAGGTAAAGCTGTGGGAGGTGACCGTCACCGAACGCAACTCGCTCATTGAGCCCTTCACCCAGCTGACCAGCCGCCTCACCCAGCCTCAGAGCAAATCTTCCTTCCCTCTGCCAGGACGCAAAAGCAAAGGCACGCCATCGAACGACATCTGAAACTCTGAACATCCCCTCACTCCTCTCTGCTAGTGACGGGCTACATTCACCTCATGTGGGAATAATCAGTAGGACAACACGGACAGCCGCCAGTTTAGCAACATGACTTTAATCGCTGCTGTGTACATTTCACCATTTTACACACATTCATTCACTTATATGCAATATTAACGTCATTTTGAAGGAGTACTGTAGCATTTTGGGAAGTACACTTATTAATAGTGAGATGAGGATCAATATCAATATGTCTGTGTGGAAATACAGAGCTGGAGTCAGTGTTGATACTAGCATAAAGACTGGAAACAGAGGGCACTTCTAAATTAACACTAATGAACATGTTATATCTGATTTGTACACATATAAATGTAAAAATGACACTTGATTTTTAGACGTAGTTACATGCTGAACTTTTTCTTGACAAACAGCCGGTTATTCATCAGTGCTTCTGTGCAGCATGTCCAGTTACAGCGCTGGTTTCCTGCTTGATGCTAAACCGGACAACATCTCTGTGATGACGAGTGAGTGAGTGAGTGAGTGAGTGAGTGAGTGAGTGAGTGAGTGAGTGAGTTACAGCTGCAAACAGCTGGAATCTTGTCATCGCATCACAGTGAGGTTGCCAAGTCTGGGCCTGCACAGATACTAAAACTTATGCTCAACAACCACATCTGGCAACCCAGGCTGCAGCTGGAGACGTTGCACAGAAGCGCAAAGATAAACTGTTGCTTGATGATGATTGGTGGGATGATGATGAATGAATTCCGAACACACTCAATGTCCACTTTATTAGGAACACCTGTAAAATCTATTGCAGTTCAATACAACAACACTACTATAATACCTGCCTTTACAAAGTTTATAACCTTCAGTTTTTACTGATGTGTTAACAACAACGTCACTAACACACAGAACTGAATTTACACCTAAAACACAATCAACAAAATAAACATTACAGGCCTCATAGAGGTAGATTCATGGCCGAGCAGTTGTATTGGGTTACATTAGATTGCACAGCTGTTCCTAATAAAGTGGACAGAGTTTATCTTCCCCTAAAACCAAAAATAGCTTTTCTTTCATGCAGGATAAACAAACGTGTTTATTACCGAGCTTTAGAGGTGTTAGTAGGTGAATTCTTGAACGTTAGATAATAATAATAATAATAATAATGATAAATAATATTACTGAAGCATTTTACTTTCTTTCTGCTTCATACTAAATGTTATAGTATGTCTATAGTTATGGAGCTGTAGGGTGGGATAGGAAGAAACTAGGCTAGCAGTTTCCCACTGTTCTTCATGCTAAGCTAGGATAACAAGTCCTGACACCAGCTCCACATTTAACGCAGACATGAGTGTTAATGATCTTCTCGGCTCACTCTGGGAAAGACGTTAACTTCTGAACATTTCATCTTTTACAGCAAACTGCACATCAGTGTCAACCACAAATATCTCCTGTGACCCGTGAATGAAAGCCCCCCCCACCCCACACACACACACACACACAGTGCGCTCAACACCGCAGAGTGTAGTCAGTCCTTTATTTGTGAAAAGCACTTTAGTACCAAATGTCTGAGTGAACCCAAACTCAGATCTTGTAGATTTACACTTCTGAGCTGTGATAGTGAAATAACATGTTCTGTCCACTGTTCTTCTCACTTGAAACATTCATATCATTCCAAGTTAAAGGACAAGTTCAATTTCCAAGTTCCATGTGTACATTTAGAGCGTTATCATCCTCCTTCCTCTCTCAGCGTCAGGGAGGACGTCAGAATACACAGTCCGCTCAGTCCAGTGTGGATTTTGACTCTCATTTCTTACATTGGATTTGCACTAGTAACGGATCTCTTCATGACCAGTACAGACAGGGTGATCGCAGCAGCCTTTGACGCTATAAACACACAGGAGGGCATGTCATTGTTGCACTAAAACAGACTTGAGAAATCGGAAGCTGTCCCACGAGCTCTGGCGCCAAACGCTGACTTCATAAATACCAACACTAACGCTGTGTTCGAATACCTAAACTGTTATTTCCCATCTGATGTGAATGCAGCATTAATCCTCTGTCCTCTGGCAGGACTCCCGTTAGCCGTTGTCCAGTCCATTTCATACATTAAATATGGCTTGGCAGCAATAATGTTCATGGTACTACCTTTTACTCGTGATGTATGATTTCATAATGTCTGTCTGACGGTAGTTGCACTCCTGTGTCGTCCAGCCAAAATAATCCAACAGGGCTACTAGTTAAAGCTGTGTGTGTGTGTGTGTGTATGTGTATGTAAGTCTTTTTAACAGTAGAAATCACTATTGAGAAGAAATATTTATTTTTTAACTAATTTATTTTTGTCACTTTAATGAGCCACATTCCTTGACTTTTGACGGTGTGATGGATGATGTGTGTCCCTTCAGAGTAATAACGTTTCATGTGCTGCTAGTAGAACAGAGGTAGAGAGATCAAGACTTGCACTCTGTATAATCACGCTAACCCTAAATTATTCTGTGCCCTGTGATGTGTCTTAAGATGCGCTGAATAAAAATAAAGCCTCTTCGTATTAAATACTCTCAAAACTTTTATTTTGGCGGTGAAGTGAAAAGTTGGTTTGAAATGATCAAACGACGTTGGATGCTTCAGTTGGTCATGTTTAAGTTTTTTGTTTTTTAAAGGGAGAAAAACAGAACAGCTCGTCATCAGTACAGAACACAAATCACAACCAATATCCATCCAAATCTAAACAAGTCTACACGTGGGAAACAGCTTCTCAAAAGAGCGGGAGTTTGGACGAGGGGGGGGGGGAAACACCGACCGGAACTTTTTAATGCGTGTGAGGATTTACATGGACATCACTGACTGGGAATCATGCTGTGACACATTTCATCTAGTAGTTTGTTTTTGTTTTTTTTGTTTTTTTAGTATTAATGTCCCGTCTTCAAGCACAAGCTAAAAAAAAGAAAAACACAAAAATGCATTATTGCCAAATTTGATTACAGTCGGGCCAGAGATAACTTAAGAAATACAATAAACAACAAAATGTCAGGAGTTAAGACTTCAATTCTGAGATAAAAATCACCCCCCCCCCTCCCCCACACATCCCCGACTCGTCCAACCAGCGGCTGCATTGGTGATTATGTGGCGTAGCGCTTGGTCCACTGTTTGGCTATCCTGTCATGTTCAGGTCTGTTTGTTGTGTACTGTGTGGCGATGCTTCCGACCAGAGGGTCAGCTGTGAAACCGATAAAACGAAAACATTAATGTTCCTGCATTCACTTCTTTCACTGAGAAATCTGCTCCGGGGTTTTCACTGAGTCCCAGATACATACAGTCAGAACGCAAGATAAAAAAATTACACATACTTCAAATTGTAGGAGAGAATTGTTAAACAATCATTTTTCACAGCAGATATTTGACCTGTCAGACACATGACTACTGACTAATTGCTGCATTGGACCCAAACTTTTCCTGCCATAAAAATCAAATATCATAATTTCACTAATATGGGAACAACACAGAAACAAAAGTTCTCTGATACAAACAAAGAGGTGAGTGAAGTGTAATCTGAAAAAACAGATTTTAGACCGGCGAGAAAAATTGCAGCATCTTGTGTTTCTTCAATCTTGTAGTTTCATGGTCCTCAAATCTTCTAAATATGCTAATGTTCTTAGTTTTCAAACTGATAAGAATTTTGTGTTTTAAAGAATATTCTGTTACAGCAGATAAAAATACGACCTCTAGATTATCTGGCGTGAAGGGAAAGTACATTGTGGTAGCTCTCACCAGGGTTGCAGTCAGTGAGCAGGGAGCAGATGGACAGCAGGACCTTGGAGATGGTGAGGGCAGGACTCCAGTTGTCCTTCAGGATGTCCAGACAGATCACCCCCTGGCTGTTGATGTTACAGTGGTAGATCCTCGTGCGGAACGTCACCTGGACACACACACACACACACACGAGACAGAACGGACCATAGTCTATAACCCACGTTTTAATTAATTTAATACAGTTAGTTCTCTCTTCACTTCTCTGCCAAACAAAGCAGCAGTTGCAGTTTCATCTGAAACTGTTTTGCACAATGTTATCCAACAACAAAGGCACAGCAGAATGTGAACATGTGTCTATAAAAGTGCAGCTCAACAGGTCACATTTATGCTGAAATTAAGAAAAGTCATATTTTATTGAGTGTTTAGAAATGTGTGAGCCGACAGTAAATTTCTACATTTTTTGCTGCGGTAAATCCTCCTTAAAAAAGGAAACAGTCACAGGTATCAGGCCTGAATGTTTGAGGTCTGAGGAATGAAGGTTTCAAGTACGAGCTGCTGGTTTCATTTACTTTTGCGCCCTCTGGTGGAAAATATGAACATGACACGTTTCTGAAAGAGATCCAACAACACAGTGAACTACTATTTAAAAACACGAGTTTCACCTTGGGTGGTTTGAAGGGGTAGTCTGGTGTGAAGGCAATGTCCAGGAAAAACACTCCCCCCTCGTACACGGAGCCCGGAGGGCCCAGGATGGTCGACCTCCACTCATAGATGTTGTCTCCTTTAGGACCGGCGCTGTCGACACAAAGGAAACATTTCATCTGGATTTATTCTTGGATGCTGCAAGTTTTCTCTCATAACTAAAAACAACTTAAGTAACACGACTTCACCACAAAACAGACGTAGTTCTCTCTTCAAGCTTCAGTTATCTTCCATCTGGATTAACACACTTCCCTCCGAGACCGAACAGACCCTCAACCCCTAAAGCTTTTTCTTTTTCTTCTTTATTCGTGTACAACAGAAACAAGTGGGACATGAAGGGTTCATATAATGGACAGAGCAAAAACAATAGATAGTTGTAGAGACGAATGAGAAGAAGATGTGTGTGCTGTATTTTTCGAGGTTTATATGTGTCTGTCTTCTGTGAGACGGTGAAAGGGAAAGTATAGTGGACATTAATGAAAGAATATACAAGATAAGCTTCATTTTAAAACGCTCTTACTCTTTATCTTCTATGTACCGACACTTATTCTGTGTGTCAGGCAACTTCTGCGAAAGTGTCTATACAATTATCATCTTTCTACGGTTCTGCAGCCTGAAATCCCTCCTAACATCTCTTCCATGTTATGTTATCAGTAATTCTTTAAAAGAATACAGTGCAATGGCCCGTGTGAGTCATTACGCCAACAGAGTGGGAAGTGATAAAGAGAGAAAGATCAACAACGACTTCATTTGCCTGTGGAGATAAAACTGCAGAGCAACAGGGCCCACAACTACAGCTGCTCCACCAGAGCCTCCGTTCAGCAGCAGCAGCTTCCATTAGTGTTTTTAATGCTGGAGATGTTTCCATGTAATTGGCTGCCTGATGAAGCGCTCCAAAATACACTTCATAGTTTACCATTTCATTTTTTTAAATGACGACTTCGGCTCTTGAAGCTCGTTTGTGGGTTTAAAATGAAAGATTGTACATGCATAACAAATATTTAGACAGATCATCTGAATATTTAAGCAAACAATAATCCCTTATTCACCAACAGCGATAACCAAGAATGATTCAGTGCACAAATCTGCTGTTGACCACATGATCACTCACTCTCCACACTGCTTGTGTGATGAGTAGCGGCTGTGTGTTCTGAGGTAAATATCAGACAACAATCTTATTTTCAGAGTCAGATGCTCACACTGTATCACGCCTGAGTGTAAAGAGACGCATGCATCGAAATAAAATACTACGTTTTTAAGAAGCTGACCCCAAACTGTATTTAGACGTCTGACTGCGAGAACTTCTGACTTCTATAACTTCAGTTTACACAACCTCACTTTTGAGAAGCTGGAACCAGTGTTGACGCTTGATGCTCGGTCAGGTTATATTAATCTATCAAGCCTTACATGTTTGTATTCGTCAATAATTAGTTTGTGATAACTTAAGAACACAATTATTTAGAATTCAGAATGAGCAAATACTGTATTTTTCACCTAAAAGGCCCAAACCCAGTTTATATTGTTTTAAAGGCCTAAATTAAAATAAATCAAGTACAGAAAAAAGTGACAAAAAAGGCACTTATTAAAATATATATACAGTATATAAATATGAACATGGGTTTTCCCTGCCACAATAAAATCAAATCACAACATTGAATAGGACAAAGTGTGGAGGTGTATTGCATTTCATTGTTGTCCAGCAGAGGGC